ATTATTATTATTATTATTATTATTATTATTATTTCTGTTTTTGTGGGGGTGTGGGGCTTGGATGAGAGTGGGCCATGAGTCACATATGTGGGTTAAGGGATCTGATAAGGATGCTCCCTGAGCGTCTCCCTAGTGGAGCTTTAGGCCTGTCTGACTGCGAGGAGACCCTGGGGAAGACCCAGGACACGCTGAAGACACTGTGTCTCTTAGCTGGCCAGTGAACGCCTTGAAACCCTTCCAGAAGAGCTGGAGGAGGTGGGGAAAGGTTGAGGAAAGAGAGGTCTGGGTCTCCCTGATGAAGCTGCTGCTCCCGTAACCCGGCTTGGAATTAGTGGAAGATGATGGATGGATGGATGGATGGATGGATGGATGGATGGATGGATGGATGGATGGATGGATGGATGGATGGATGGATGGATGGATGGATAGATGAATGGATGGATTCCACAATTGATTAAAAAACAAAAATGGCTACAACAGTCATATTTTTTCTTTAAAATGTTAAGATTAATAGACTATTGTAAATTTGATGTCAACCTGTCTGTTAGCAAAATATTTCATAACTACTGTACTGATTTGAATGAAGCTTTCAAAGCAATCATTGGATCTTTGTCTACAACTAAAGTGTTAGCGTCACACCAAATTAAAAAAAAAATCACCAACATTAACCAATGCAAACATGTCTTTAACATTAGGGCTGCAACAATGAATCAATAAAACCAATAAAAATCAATTATTAAAACCGTTGGTAACGAGTTTCATTATCAATTCATTGTGTCCCATGATTTATGCGTCCATCGCTATGTTGCGGAGCCGTTTACATCACCCAAAAAGCGTTGTCAGTGCAGGCTGAGCTAAATAAAGTTGAGGAAGAAAAAAAACTCTACCTGTAGATCCTCCCTCTCTGAGACTCTCGAATGAAAAGCAGAGACTTCGAACTTTAAACCAGTTTTTAAATTGTGTTTGGCCACAATCAATAAAAATAAATAAATGGTGTTTGGCCAAGTATATCCAAAGATAGGATAAAAAGTATGTGCCACAATTTTTTTAAAGACGTCTGATTTGATGTGTGTCGCATCGCGAGGAGGAAACACATCCCATGGCGAAAAAAATAAAAATAAAAAACAGTACCTCAGTCGACCTCAGTTCACCATTTCTTTCCTCCTCTTGGACCAGAAATATAAAACCTTCGTCTTTTTTTCTGACCGAGGCTCAAAGTTGTTTGATAAACAGCAAAAAGGTTCAAGATGAAGGAAAAAAATAGAAGACGCAGCAGAACTCCTCTTCTGACTCAGTAGGGGAGGGGGGAGGGATGGGGGGGCTGCTTCAGAACCRGGTCATTCAGTCAGACAGAACCAGAAGGAAGCAAAACGTAAATAATTAGAGATAAATCATAAATTATAAATGCAAATAAATTCTAATTATAATAATACGTTACTAATAGTTAAAGGAAAAAAAATTGTATAGGTCCTCTGGACGGGTTCTTCTTTAATGAAACGTTTCGTCTCTCTTCCAAGA